AAAGAACCATCAAAATTTGCCCGGGTTGGCTTGATCCTGTGTTGTCTTATTATCCCATATCAAAGCAATTCCTTGTCATGCCACTTATTTATCAAATCATTGTCTAGATCCTTCCTAAATCTAGGTTGAACTTCCATAACCTCAGTCTCATATCTGTCCTCTTATTTCTGGATGGAGGCATGATAAAATATTTAATCAACTTTGTCCGAATTACACCTCACTAGGTTGCAGAACTCTGGAGCGAAAGCATAATGTTTGCAACAATTAAAAATGATTAACTTACAAATGCCTTCTTTGTCCAGCTGTAATCGGCAGTCTACTTCCATAGTCTAGTCGAAGGTATGTAGACCAAGAACTGTCGTCTTCCGGTGAGATCAGCGTCATCATGCACTTTAATACGTAATGCAAGTCGCCATAATCCTTTTTAATAGACTCATCGAAACCCAGCTATTCTTTCATTCCTGATACGAGAGCTTAGCGTGGATTCGTCCGGATTGCACGAAGATGAGTCGAGGACTTCCTGACAATTCAACCATCTTCTCTGCAAGACAATCCTCTCCCGGTCTCTGGCGAGGTCATTTCACAAATTTTTTATAGCCAACTTTTCCCTTTACAGAAAAAGTCATGTCACAATTCATTACTAAGGGTCTCCCCGATGCCATGTTTTTACTCGTAGCTATTTGTTGATCTATTTGTTCAATTTAATACACCTCAACTCGTATGTTTACCGGACCTAGTGTTGACATTTTCCTTTGAAGACTGCAACCACTCACAAAGCTCGCATGTTCTGACGGCTCCCAAGGACCAGCCGGTTCTGGCTGGCTCGCTTGTGGTCATTTTTCCTCACTTAAAGTCTCGAGAGTCTACAGGCCCTGTTTTCACCTTGCTCTCCTGTAGCGTCTGCATCTGTACTGTCGCCGTCGCGTCGTCTCGACCCGACTTGGATCGGCTACATCTGCCTTTCTGTAGGCTTTCTCACTCGTTATTGGCCGTTCTTCCCTCCGATTATACGCTTGCTCAGCTCTGGCCGACTTCAAATTGACAAGAGTTGTTGAAATGTTGCCTGAAATTTTTCTGCCAAATGCATAATGTCTGGGAAATGACAGCATTGAGACTGTCAATTCCGATATTATTTTAATTATTCAGAATATTTTTCGTCCTATTTTTCTGGCAATCTGCATTGGAAAAAAATTTCTGACAATTTTAAACTCATACATCCAGCTCTTCGTTTCCT